TCTATACACACATTCCTACTCCTGCCCTAAATCATTCAGTGATGCTACCTGTCTTTCCCCCATCACTCTCTCTACTCTACTCCACACTTACTGGCTTTTCTGTTCTCAAAAGTACCATGTTCTCTCCACTCCAGGGCCTTTGCACATGTTGTCCCCTCAGCTATGTTCCTACAGCAGCATTTCTCTCTTTCCTCACTGTCATCTCAGCCTGTGTACATATTTGGGGATTGCTTATTTGTTGGAACTCCCCTTCCCCTTGAGACTGGAAGCTCCACAAATGGGAACAATGTGTCTATTTTCGCTCACCATTATATCCCTGAAGCCTTGTATATTGCCTGGAACATAGCTGGCACTTTATAGGTACTTGTTGAGTGATGGTAATGAGCTCATACAATCCTCCCAACAAGTGAGAATTTTACCTAAGGCCAGTGCTCTGCTCTGACCCCCTACAGTACCTGCTTTCATGTCATTATAAGATGGAGAGCAATAGGCTTGAAAGACATAAAGGGCTCTGGAGCCTGACTGACTGGGTTCATATCCTCCCTCTGCCACTTCCCAGATGTGGGACACGGGGCAAATTCTTTAATATCTGTGTTTTGGTTTCCTCTTCTGTAAAATGTCAGTAATAATAGTACCTGTCTCATGGGGTGATTGTAAGGATCCAATAAGTGAACTTCTAGAACATGCTATTGGGAGGGCTTGGTGGTTAGTGAGTGCCCCATTAATCTTAGTTATTATTAATATTATTAACAGAAGGAGCATAGATTCTAGGAGTAGATGAATCCGGTTTTCTGTCATATTTGCAAATCATTCCCTGTGGGACTTTGGATAAGCCGTGTCACACCGCTGAGCCTCAGTTTCTCCACCTGTTAAAGTGGGATCTCAAGACCTACTTCAGAGAGAGCCATCATGAGGGCCTGATAAGATATGAAACACGCAGACCAGTGCCCTGTGGTCCTTCCTGATGGGCTAAATTGGTCCCTGTTGCCTTTTAGACAAGAAGCTTCCTGAAGATAGGCTTCACATCTGCCTTATTTAGGGCTGTTGTCCCCAGCCCCTCTGTACTTGGTTATTGTAAGTGTTCAATAAATAGTTCTATTTTTTAAAAAAATATTTTATTTATTTATTTGAGAGAGAGTGAGAGAGAGCACGAGTCAGGGGGAGGGGCAGAGGGAGAAACAAACTTCCCATTGAGCAGGGAGCCCGATGTAGGGCTCCATCCCAGGATCTGGGATCATGACCTGAGCCAAAGGCAGACACTTAACCATCCAGGTTAAGTGGGTGGTTGAGCCACTCAGGCGCCCCTCAATAAATAGTTCTTTACTGAATGAATGAATCAATAATGGCAGGGACCATGCTTTGTTCGTCTTTGTGTCCAACCTGAGACTAGTGAAATACCTAGCATCTAAGTTCAATAAATGCTTGTTGACAGAATAGATTTTTTAAATAGCTATTCATTTCTGTTCCCCACCCCATTTGAGTTTCCAAATTAAACTGAGAAAGATACTTGTTAACTTATCCTATACCTCTCTAGCCTTAGTCTTCTTATCTATAAAATGAGGCTATAAATAAAATCCACCACATAAGAGTGTTCTGAAAAGTAAACAAAGCAATATGTATTTGGCACATAGAAAATGTTAGTTCATTAGTATTCCTTTCCCTGAGCTTCATTTTCCTCATCTGTGAAATGGGCATCCACTCACTCATTTATTCATTGGTTATTCAACAAACAACAGGGCCCATGTGCAAGGCATTGTAATTAAGACCTAGGGCAGTTAGAGAGGTGAACAGGCCATGGTCCCTGTCGTGAGGAAGTGTCTGCTGTGGGACAACATATGAATAGCAAAACCCAGTGATAAAAGAGCCACGATATGTGTGAGGTCTATGGAAGCTGGGCTGGGCACCTGTAGGGTTTCAGTGAGCTCTTTAGGGAGAGTGTAAAAGGTCACCAACTCAATGTAACCACCAACATGTCATCAATCTGAAATGGAGTTGTCCTCTCTGGGCTCTGGTTTTTGTAGCCTGGGTCTGTGGGATGTGCCAGTTTTGCTGCAGTCCCACTTTCTACCCTGGCTCACCAGCATATGAGAGGCTGATCCAGGTGTCACAATCCCACTGAGCATCCAGTTCAAACAGACATATCCTTCCAAGACTCAGCCTTGTCTTCCTCCCCTTCCCCCTGGATCCTACCTTCTCAGGGGACTGAACAGTGATTCACTCACAATGTGGAACAATGGGGTGCCTCCAATGAATGCTGGGCTCCTGGTTCTCCAAAGACAAGTCTGCCTCTTCCTGGAGTGGGACCCAGGGAGGGGATCCTTGGGCACTGGGGATGGGAACAGGCCAGGCTGGGTGTCTGGGCTCCTGCATCTAAGGGGATCACATGTTTGTCTCTGGTGTTCACAGCTGGTTCCAGGAAACTGACTCCTGCCGATCAAACTCGTGAGAGATTGAAACATCTGAATTAGAATTTTACATTTAAGCTAGGTGCAACCTGTGGGGTTGGGAGGGACTATTCTCCAGTCACCAACATATTTGCACCTGTTACCCAGAGCAGTCTTACTTTCAAGTGAAAGAAATTTACATGCCACGGGTATTTAAATATCAGGGGAGGGTCTGCCGTCAGTGGCCTGCCAGAGGGACGTCTGAATCCCCATGGCCCATCCTAACAGGCCTCAGGGAAGAAGCAAGATTTATGAGGTGAGAGCCCGCCTGGGCCGCTTCTTCTAACCATAAAGGCCTCCCTGCAGTATTTTCTGTCTCGTCAACACTGCATTTCATTTTAAATTGCAGCTGAAAGCAGATATTTTCCCTCTTGCCTATTACACCTCTTAATTTGTCTCTCCCTCTGCTGTTATTTGTCTCTATAAAGTGTTTTGCATGAAAGACCCACACCGCACAATGTTGCTCTGCCCTGGGTTAGGTTTAACAGGAAGGGAAGGCACAGAGAGACTTAAGTCCAAGGAGGATGTGAGGGAGGGCCTTGGGGTGGAGACACACACAGGTCTGGGAATATATGCCTGGCAGTGTGTACATGTGCATGTTTTTGGACCTGTCTATTGTGCATCAGTGGGTATGTGTGCACACATGTCAATGTTTGTACTGATATGTATAGATGTCTATGTATGCTCCGGCATAATCACTTGGTGTCCATACCTAAATTAAGTGTATGTGTGCAGGTACTCACTCACATGCAATCCCTGAGCGCATAGGTATCTATGCATACGAGCACACACGTGCACATAAACACACGCAGGCATGAAGGTACGCATGTCACATTGTGTGTGGTCTGTACACACGACCAGGGTTCTCTCTTCCCTGCCCTCCCCTCGCATCTCTCCCTCCCCCACCCGGGGGCCCTCGTCGGGTTTGGGGCTGTGGCAGAGCAGTGGTCGGTGGGGGTCCAGTGGAAACACTGCCTTAGCCTGGTCCAGCCGTGGCCACAGCTCTCCGGCTTGGCTCCAGCCACCTTTTCCTTAGAGCCTGCCCGGGCAGCACCACCACGGCTCCTGCAGAAGCTCTGGGGACCCCTGGGCAGGCCCCCAGCTCCCTGCCAATCCTGGACTGGCACGGAGGGGTGACAGCGGCTCCTGAACAATGGCCAGAGCCCTTCAGACTGGCCGGGTCTCCTGCCCCCACCCGGAGACCAACTACCCGAGTGGCGCGGGCGGGGGCGGCCAGGGGGCCTAGCGGTCGCTCCCAGTCCAGCGAACGCCGGCCACTAACCAATGGGCGACTGCAGCCCAACGGGGATCCCTCTGAGGCAGCCAATGACCTTGCTCCGCTCTCCACCCCGCCCTCGCCAACTCCGCGCAGCTGGACCATTGGTGCTGGATGGGGGGGGCAGTGTGCGCGGCGCTGGCCACTTGAGGGAGGGGGCGTGGCTTGGAGTCCCGTCGCCTCTCCCCACCGGCGCTTAGGCCCCGCGCTCCCTACCCACGGACGCGAGGCCATTGGCCTGGCTGCGACGCCGCGGCGGGGGAGGACCGCTGGGCGCGCGCAGTGGGCGTGGCCCGAGGGCGTGGCCCGGAGGGAGGAGGGGCCGCGGGCGCTG